GGTCAACATCTCCCTTACAAAAATTTCAGATCAGAAAATAGATGAATTAAACGTGTTTAGTTAAATTGAATATAGTTGGCATGTACTAATTGATTGAGTTGAATATGTTCTGATTGATTTTGGTTATTTTGGTCAATTTATGTAAATAAACCGCTTTTATTTTAATGAAAGTTTTAAATTTTCTATGAACTTTGACAATAGTCAAAGTTTGGAAAGTCAATGTGACATCTCAGACTCGTATTCAGGTCGGGTACAGGTTGGGGGTGCTACATTTAATGGTATCAGAGCTAAGTTTTAGCCGACTCTAGGCTTAAACCGAAGTTAAATGAGGTTTAAAAATGTGTACATGCCAATTAAGAGTGAAAATTTCTGATCTGATAGTGTAAGGAGTATGTTGTCTTGCTAATAAAATAAGATTTGTATGATATAGTAGGAATTGATTATAGAAATTATCAAAGTAAAGTAAACCTATAGCTGACAAATCTGATGGTGATAGCAATTCACATACCCTGGCCAGGCAGGATGAAGAGCGGAAACCTCAGAAAGTGTCTTATAAGACTAAATATTGATTTCAGAAAGTTGAAATCATATTAGAATATTGATAGAAGATCTTTATTATTTTGAATCGGAAAAGCTATATGGATTAGTTTTGTTAGTATGTGGATAAGATAGAATATGGTGAACAAGTGTCACCATAAGAGCGTTAAAAGATCAAATGATGTAGTGAGAATTGGTAGAAGAGCTCAAGAATAAGTGCATCAGTGACAAGAGTATAAGATATAGAAAGCCAGAGTTTATGAGTTGAAACAAAGAATAGTGTTGTACATAAGCAAAAGTGTGGATATGATAAGATATTGCATTTTAGAAGGAAAAAGTTAGCGTTGGCTAACAAGAATATGTGATGGAAATGTACTGGAAGTATAAGATTGTAAGATATTGTCAGGATATGATAACCAAATATGGAATGGATCTGGATACAGTTGTATATTTGAGTAAAGCTGAGGATTGATAAGAAGAGTTTGAGAATGTGTATATCGATAATTAGTTTATAAGACAAAGGAAGTCATAATGTTGAGTTGAACAACGGAAATTTCAGGATGTATGAGAATAGAGGTGAAATTGACAGGTTAAGTAAACGAATTTTGAGATAATTTCGATTGGAAATGATGTATATGATTGGTTGACTAGGGCTTGTGCCCTAGAATTGAACAGATGTTATTGACTAGACATCAGAGTAAAAGTAATAGAGTTATAAGATTGGAGGAAAAGATAAAGTTGAGCCAATCAATTATGATGTGAATCTGAATATAGTTATGTATTCTGATCAGATAGCTATGATGTAGAAATGGAGATAAGTATTTGCATGGAACCTTAAGGAAGGAAAATACAAGTATAAGAAATGATAAAAAATGAAGTTATGTATAAGAAATGGGTTATCAAAGTTATGAGGATACAATGAAGATTGGTACATAGAGATGAGTATAGATGATAAGACAAGAGTATGTGAATATGAAAGGAAATATATGATTTGTGTATAAGGAATAATGGAATAAAGAAATGAAAATGATTGAGGTTAAGGGATTCGAGATGATGAAGGTTATATGGAAGTGTAGATGATAAGTTCGATATAGAAGTACGAAAAGTGTGCAGGGTGATGTGAAAAGATTCTTTAAAGTGTATGTTAAAGCATATTTAAAGAAGATTTAAAGTCGTGTTCTTGGTTAAATGATGATGGAAAAAGAGTTTGGTTATGGTTATAAGGTAATTAAAGATGGATGTTACTGTCTACGTGATGAGTGACATTATATGAAATTTCAGAAATGGTCAAAGAAAAAATGGAAGGAGAGAAAAGACAGAAATGGATTAAAGTTACTAGTTATTGTTTATATGATAAGTGATATTAGATGAATATATAAGGGAAAAAGGTAGTTGAAGAACTAAAGGAATGAAAGATTAAGTAAAGGAGGTAACATGAGAACATTAGAAAGTATGTTCTTATCTGTATGTGCAATTACATAAATCATTTAACTCATATACTTTTCATATAACCATTACATACATACACACATACATGTCATTATTTATGTTTTTATCATACTCCTATAGTATTATCCTTCATCTCTCTTATCTCTTGTTCATATGATCTCTTACATTCATACAATTTCTTATGTTAATACCACATGACTTATCTCCTATTCTCATGCTATCACATAAACATATAATCTTACAGTACATACAAAAACACATCAATACATATAGTCACGTAAATCACTTTTGCATAGCTTATATCAACTTTTCATGTCATTTCACACTTCTTGTTACATTGCTTATATCTTACTCTTATGTCTTCTCATATACATATATTCACATATACATATCATTTCTTTATCCTTATTATTATTCTTATCATCACCATTAATCCCTTTTACTTACCATATTAATATCAATAACACATATATTCATGCACACATATAAATCATAGCAAACACATACTTATATGAATTCATGCATTTTACTATTGGAAATAGACTTATTACAAGTCTTATTTTCCATTGAACATCATATACTAAATAATGTGCACTCACCTTAGCCTTGCTTGCTTTGATTCAATCCTAACTCTTCGATTGTTCCGTAACTCGTTTAGGCTTGATATCTACATAACATAAATTTCGAGACGATTTTCAGAAGCCTAAACCTTATAACTTGGTATTAATAACTTAGGCTAATTTAATAAACCGAAAATTCAATTTTCCTTTAGGAGTGTACCGATGCACTATGGGGTGCATCGGTACCAAAATAGCTTCGAAATTCCCATACATTGATGCACCCCTTAATGCATCGATGTACCTTCAAAATTGTCTTAGTACGTCGGTACAAACTCATAGTGCATCGATGCACCTGCCCAGAATAGGCTATTTCATCCGAAAATCATCAACACTTCACCCAAATTTTCATGTATAAAATCCTTATTATGCTACTAAATTCATCTATAACAACTTTAACCAATTCCTATCATTCCAACACCTTATAATCTTCCATATTTCATCCAAATTCTTAAGGCTAAGAATCATACCAAATTTTCTATGTTATCCAAACTTAATTCTAACACTTCTAACTTCTTATTATCATAGATGACAAGTCAAATTCATCCTCCAAATTCATTTAAGCCTTCTTATTCAAAATTTCACTTAAAACCCCATTTTCTTTAATATGTCATAACTCCTTTATCTTTTGATTTTAAGATAACTTAAGCTTTTCTTAAGCTTAGTTATCATCTAATGATCAAAACCCAACTTTTAATTCAACAAATAATCAACTAATTAAGAAACTCACCTTTGCTTGTATGCTCCACGGTGGAGAAGATAAGAAGATGAGAGAATTGTATGGAATTACAATGGATTCCACGTGGGATTCCCTTATCTTATAAGGGAAATAAAATCTTTCATGTCAAATGACCATTATGCCTTTTAATTCTTTTAATAATTGCTAACAACTTTCAGAAAATATCTCCATATAAATCATTGACCTATTCAACTATTCTACTTTTATCACCAAATTCTAAAATTTTATAATTTAGTCACTAACCCGATATTTGAGGATGTTACAATAACTTAAACCAAAACTAATAATCAATCTAAAGCAAAACATTTAAAATCAAGTGAACAATTTTGATGAAATTATAATTGGTTCATTTGATTGGTTTAGAAGGATATTTGGTGACACTTAGGTTTGGTATCGCAATAAAGCAGTTGTTAATTTTTATCACCACTTGCGAGTGATATATAAATATCATAAGATCCTTGCAATTGGTAAAAAATAAGTAGAAAAATGGAATGTTATTCTCTAAACATATATTATCTTGTAATTATTTTAGATTATTTAAGGAAAATGGAAAAATAATAATTTATTGAATAATTTTAATAATAAATGAGAATATTATTCTTTTTAAAAGATTCAAATTGAAATTTGAGTTAATTGTATCACATGTCTCTAATATATGATTCTCATTATAAATTTATCCCTAAACTTTTGAATATCATAATTTCATCCCAAATTATTACACTAATTTTAAATTAGTTCTTTAATTTCTGAACATTCCAATTTCATCCTCAAGCTACAACTTTCATTCTAAATTAGTCCCTAAACTTCTAAATCTTTCAATTTCATCCGTAACTTCATCCAAATATGTACTTAATTATCACCATATTTTAACCTAAAATTTAGTTTTTTTAAAACATATAATAGTATAATTTGGCCTAATGATTTTATTAACAGGGAATCTGATTAGTATATACATATAGTTTGGGATAAAATTAAAATGTTAAAAAAGTTGGGGACCAATTTAGAACAAATGATATAGTTGGGGATGAAAATAAAATGTTCAAAAGTTTGAAGACTAATTTAGAATTATAGTCATAGTAAAATAATGAAATTGAAATAATTAAAAGTTTAAAGATAAATTTAAAAAGAGAATAATAGTTTGAGAACATATAATGAAATTAACACTTTAAATATTTATATTTATAAGATATGTGTAAGTTACAATATATTAAAAAGAAATTGAACATATACTATTTTAAAATATTCAAACTAAAATAAAATTGAACATTAGCCAAACTCAACATGTTAAAGCTTTTTTTTTCTAATAGTATGAAGTGATTACAATAAAGTAGTAGTTATTCATAATTTTTTAATTATTGATAGCATACACTCTACAAAGATATATTCTTTAATCCGAAACTTTTAGAAAGAATAATACTCTCTTAGACCTCTAAAATTATTCGATGGATTCGTTAAATATTTTATTTTAAAACTAATTAAAATATTTAACGTGAAAGAGGAAGTTGTATAAATTTTAAGTTTATATTTTTTAAATAATAAAATTAATTTATTTTATTCAAACCAAAGCAACAAGACAAATAAATAACAGAAGAAAAAACAGAGCAAAGCAATAAGACAATAAATAAATTGACAACCAATATTTAACATATTTATTAATATTTTTGGTTACATGGTAAAAGCAACAATTAAAATGAAGTTAATAATTAACATGCAAATCTCTTGTGGAAAGTGAGAACAGTAAGAGCTATCAACGCAGTAAAAGCCAAGGAAGCCAACAAAGAAAGAACAATGGAGACAGCGACTTGGTCACAGAATTTGTCGAACACATTACACACTTTGTTCCATCGGACGTGAGAGTTGCCCTTGTAGCCCATCAGACCGATAGCCAAGGCGGCGCCGTTGGCCGAAAACAGCATTCCGACCATTAATATGTCGAATACTGCGATGATTTGAGCCAACCATACTGTGGCCTTACCGTTTCTACTTCCCAACATCATCAGTGTTGTTGAGATTGCAGCATATGAGCTTGCTATTATGTTTGACACCATCGAGTACCTAAAGCAACACAAATAACATATATTAGATTTACATTTAGAAATAATAAAAAAGTCAAATTATTGAGTGATATCATTGGTAAAAAATATTATACATTTTAGAGAATTTAAATTAGAACGGTTACATTTACTAAATATGTGTACATTATTTATAATTTGTAAAGAAAATATTATACTTTCTAGAGGATCTAAATTCGATCAATTATATCTATTGAATATATGTATAGTATCAATAATAAACATTCAAAACATATATTATATTTCAGGTTTTTCCTTTATGTTTCTTTTTCTAATAATTATGTTGTATGACAGAGAAACCTTAAGATAATTTAGAACGAATTTTAACCTAAAGTATTATCTTATCTAATCTAAAAAGTTAGACAATTGATAATACATTCGATTACCATAGTATATATTACATTATGATAGATTTTAATTTAAAATATTATCTTGTCTACACACTACTCTAAACAAGTAAATTGATAATAATTTCAATTGCTACTAAAAATATTATATATAAATATATTAGCGATAATTGTTTATGTTGCAATTAAAATAATTATGTCATTTATAAGATTTATTATTGAAAAATATAATATTTTCAATTTTAACTTAAATTATTATCAAATTTACTCTTAAAAGTTAGATATTTAATAAAAATTTCAATTATAATTTATTATATTCTTTTTCTTTTAACTTTTTCAGTTATAACTGATTTTTTTATTTTATATTAACCGGTTATATTTTAGACTCTTATTATTTTCTATTTTTGATTAGTTTATGATGAAGGGTTAATTGAGAGAAGAAGAATAAAATGCTTACACAAAGGCCGACAAATAATGCCACTTAGCTTGGGCAGCAACATTGATGGCAGGCAAAGTTGGAATAATCTGAATCGGAACGACCTTAGTCTGTTTATCAACACCGAGAACAATTGCCGACGCAACCGTCAGCAACAAAGCCACGGCCCTCAGTATCAAATCACAGTTACTCAATGTTCTGGGCATGCCCACCACCTGTTTGTTATGTGTCCCTGTAGTTCCATCGAAGCCGTTGCCGACCTTGTTTTTGCTCTGGCTCTCCATCTTCACAAAGTGTTTGTGGTGCGGAGGAAAATGGGGGGCATTAAATAGAGAAAAGTGGGTGGGAAAACATAGTGGTAGAGTCCAAGAGGTGAAAGGAAGCTGTGCAGAATTATGGCATTTATTGCGAGCTGTTGGTCTGCTTTGATGGACAAGTGTGGAAGAAACTAGTTCTTCTCATTCCATTTTCACACCTTGTTTTTCACTATATTTACTCTCTTCAATTTGTTTTTAGGGTAAACTAATGAAATCATCACTTTTGTTTCCCAAGTGTTCATTTTTTTCTCATTGAATTTAAAAAAGTAACCTTTAGAACATTAAGATGTTAAATGTTGTTAGTGTGATGACTTTACATGTTAATAAATTAATTAATTTTTAATTTGTTATCTGAACTTTAGATTAAATATTAATTTGATCCTTAAACTGTAAATAAAATATCAATTTAACATATAAATACGATCAAAGTCTTATGCCACCTGTCGTCGTCCACCACCTCGTTGATAACTTTCAGCCGCCATCAAATACGATCAATTTAACTTATAATTTTCAATTCATTCATTTTGGCTCCTGTACGTGAATCCATTGTCCGTTCTATTAAAAAAATATCTTGAAGTCTAAAAACCTAAGATAAGATCCTTAACTTCTTTTAAAATTAAACTAGAATAATAAATTTAGTATTAAATTTCTTTTTTTAAAAATTAAAAGTCTAAATTTATATCATAATCAATTTCATAAAAAAATTAATGGTGTAATATATTTGTTTGACAAGAAGAAGTACCACGAAGATAATGATGAATGAAAAAAAGAAAAAATTGACAATTACATTTACGTAAACATCTAAGAAAGAAAATCTAATTATCTTTTTATATTTTTTGGACTGGGGTCCTTATATTTGTACATACTTTTCACTAATAATATTTGCTCTTATGAAAATATTTTTTGAGTATATTTAATATGAGATCAAAAAGAAGTGAATTAAAAATTTTGGGGTCCAATGGTTGTTGGCAACGACGAACGGTGACGGTCAGCAATGACCAACAATGGCGAACGACTGGAGATATTGATCGAATTATGGGATTAAATTAATATTTTATATAAATTTCAAGGGTTAATCTAAAGTTTAAGAGTCAAATTAGTATTTTATGAAAAGTTCAATGGTCATATAAAAAATTAATCCATTTTACTAACATGTCACTTCATCAAACTAACAACATTTAACGTCTTAGTTACCAAAATATTATAAATCAATAATGCAAGTAACTCAAAACGTTACTTTTCTTAAATTTGATGAGCAAAAGTAAATAGTTATAAAACAAAAGTGATCATTTCAGTAGTTTATCCTTTTATTTATATTAAATAATTATGATTATTTTTCGAATTTATAATGATTTAAATATTGTTTATATTTTATGTTTGTGAGATAAAAATGCCATGTAAAAAATGTCACGTAGAACAGTTTTGTGAAGTTTTTAATGACGAGACATCAAAATGAAACTTAAATTAAATGTTAAGTAAGATTTTTTAAAAATTAAAGTTGAGTACTAAAACTGAATAAAAGTAATAGGTTACGTATTAAATGTGTGATTTACCCTAAAATATAACTTATTGTCTAATTACAATTTAAATAAATATCTAACAAATTTTCAAATTCTTTTCTTCGGCTTAATCGACAGTAAAATTAAGTTTGTGATTATGAATTTTTTGCATAACTCATTCATTATTTTTTGTTGAAAACACTAGTTACTCGTGTATGTAAAGTAATAAATTATTAATTAAATTCAACTAATAATTAAGAAAATCTTATAAAACTATATTAATTTATTTTTTGGGGTTGTATGTAAGGCTCAATTATTTATCGCAAAGGTGGGAACGTGATATGAAATGCATTAAATAAGTTACAAGTAGGTCCAAAATCACAGCCAAATTTCGTCCACGTTTTTTTGGGTCAAACTCAGTAAGATGTGAACCAGAGAGTTGCTTCAAACATCTGCCATCATCATGTAAACACTAATTTTCATCTACATATTTTATATATATATACATATATATATCTATGTATATATTATTATTCGTAAACGATTTTGAAAATACATATATAATATATAGTTTTTTTAAAGGCATTTTGAAAATGAATATAGTATATAGATTTTAAAACATTTTTGAAAACGGTATAATATATAGTTTTTAAAATATTTTTAGAAAAAATATATAATATATGGTTTTTAAAATCATTTTTTGAAAACTTATATAATATATAATTTTTTAAAGCATTTTTGAAAACTTATATATAATAATATATAATTTTTAAAACATTTTTGAAAATTATATAGTTTTTGAAAACATTTTTTGAAAATTATATAGTTTTTTTAAAAATTTTGAAAATTTATATATAGTATATAGTTTATAAAAAGAAATAGTTTTAAAAAATGTATATTATATAGTTTTATTTATTTATTTATTTATTATTATTATTATCATTATTTATTATTATTATTTTTATTACTTATTTTATTTTGTTTTTCCCGTTTCCAGGTCCAATAACAATCCAAGAGTTGAGCATGAACCAGCTCAAAAGTCCAACCAGAACGGGCCTGAACCAGCCCAGCAAGGGATTAGGGTTTCTCGGTCTCAGTCAGTGCCGCAGGGGAGGTTACACAGTCAAAGGGAGAACGGCCGACCGAGATCCCCGGGACTTACCCATCCCGAGATGATCGGCCAACCACGAACAGAACGACGTGAGGCCCGAAACATACAGGAACACCCCCATATCATCGGAAACAGTCCCCATCGGGGCTGTATAAATAGACACGGGGAGAACAGAACATCACGGAAGCATAAACACAGAGAACCCACAAAGGATTCGAACCACCAACCACCATCACAGTACCAACCACCACAAAAGAACCATCGCTCAATAGAGCAAACAAAAAGCAGTACCAAAGCATCATAACAAAATACACGAGACACCAAAAACCGAGCAAACTAAACCACAATAGCCGAATACCAAACATACATACACAAAAAACCACAAAAATAGTACGCATCAGAAGCACATCAAGAAAAACGAAAGGTCACCGGAAAAGGTGAGGGGTCGAAGGTTTGGTCTTAGATCTACGCTTACTGGGGTGTGTTTTGGGGATTTAGAGGTTGGTTTTGGGTTTACGGTGCGGAGGAGAGCATTTTGTGGGGGTTTAGATATTTCGACCACCGTCGGTGGTGGCCAGCACGGCGGCCGACTGAGTGGCCGGTTTTACACAGGCGGGATCTCAAGAGAGAGGCAAGAGAGAAAGCCTTAGAGAGAGGGGGAGATATATGAGGAAATGGGGAAGAATGGAGTAAGTAAGGGGGTTTAACTTATTTATATACAAGGGACAACTCTGCAAATAGAAGATTATTAAATTCCTTCCGCGGTCCCTCAGAGTTTGAATCGCATTTCAATTGTAATTTGACCTCAGAATTTTCAATCTAATCAATTTGATCCTGGTTCATATTTTTTACATTTTTGTGAATTGGCCCCTCACTTTTGATTTTTTTATTTTGCAGATCATTTTTCTAATGCCGATTTAACCCATTAATTCCCATTCGTTTCAATTTAATCCTCTAAGTTTTATTTTATCATTCTTGTTTTTTTTATGTTTTTTAAACTTTAACTATTTTTTGATTCCTTTACTATTTCTTTAAATTATCGTTTTTTATTCTTTTTTAAATTTATTTTTTATTCAATTTTTATTTATCATTTTTTTACTTGTTCCATTTTTATTTATTTTTTAAACTTATTTTTTATTTAATTTCTCATTTTTTTGTTTTTTTGTCTTCATTTTGATTTCTTGTTTATTTGTTTGTTATCATCATTTTTTCCTCTAACATTTTTTATCTTTTTCAGAGGAATTCTAACCGATCAAAGGTAAGTAACTCGAATCAAATATTTTAAATTTTAATTTTAATTTTCTAATTTTCGCTAAAAAGACAACCGATAAATTAATTGGTATCGAAAGGGCGGTTCAAGGGTGCTAATCCTTCATTGACCGTAAACGACTCTCGAACCCAACACGTTTCTGGTAAAACGCAGATCAGGTAAGATAGTGTCCGACACACCTAAATTCGTTTTAAAATGGTCGGTGGTGACTCCAATGCATTTAATCCAAGTCGAAGCCCAATTCCGGGGTCCAACCGAAAGACGGTTCTGACAGCTTGACGACTCCACTAGGGACAGGTAAGTGAGTCAGGCCGAAATTAATTTTCGGTTGTCTTTTTTAGCGAAAGTTATAAATTTAAATTTTAATTTATTTATTCGATTCTAATTATTTACCTTTGATTATTTTTCAAGTAAATAGTTGTATTGACGTTTTTTAATGATTTCAGATTTTTCAAAATTGTCATCTCTAGCTCTATACCTGAGCTCTGAACCTTTTAAGTGGGGGTGAAAGCGACGCCTTCGTGTGAATTTATTCACCGTATGGGCCTAGCAAGTAACATTCGGGATTCATATACCTTATGCCTTCGTGTGAATTTATTCTCCGTATGGGCATAAGGGAATGTTTCCTCTCGAGTTTAACTTAGTCCGCATAAGCTTGCATCATGGGGGCACCGACAAGGAGAATTCGAGTATCTTTTTTTAGAACCTAAACCGGGAGAGTACAGAGAATTAGAGCCCACCCCAAAACCTCATTCCAAACCCTAGGCTGTTTTGTTTCCTGCTTTATTTTCTGTTCAAAGCATGCGAACTAGACAAATATGCGGTTAGGATTTGTTTGAAATTAGCATGCGGGATAGAAATCATGTCCGAGTAGGAATATTAAACATGTTCGGGTAGGTATCATGTGGGGTATGACTTTTATTTTTCATGATTATTTTTTATTATTTTTACCTCACTAACTCTTTTTTTTTCTCTTTCATTTTATTTTCATCACTTGCATCATTTAAAAGAGGTGTTGATCCACCAAAAGCATGTTTGCTAAACATGAATAATCTGCATTAATGGACAAAGGGGTTGTAATACAAGAGATGAAAATGCATAGGACAATCTACAAGGAGA